GCGGGGGGGGTTGGGGGAGGCCTGGGGGGGGGGGGTCCCGGGAAGGAGGCCAGGACAGCTGGGGTGAGGGGGAAACTCAGAGAGTCTGGGTGCGGCCATTTGACAGCTGCTGTAGACATACATCAACATCAGGACAGCCAAGCCAGGTGGACAGCTGGATGTCAGCCTCGGCCGAGGGGAGTTTCCTGGGCCAGAGGCATCGAAACAGCCTGTAGCAAATCCCCGGGGGCCCCTCCCATCCCCTTAGCCCACTTCCTGCTCCAGCTGCAGCAGCTGGCTTTGCACAGGTGCGGCCTGGCAGCCCTCACCTATCCCCGCCTCTTGCTGTCTGCCTGGGGCTGCTCTGCCACGTCAGCATAGGACACCTGTGAGAACCTCACTCCTGCCGGGCCAGCGTGGCTCAGTGGTTGAACGTCAACCTATGAACCAGGAGGTCACAGTTCAATTCCAGTCAGGGCACATGCCCAGGTTGCGGGCTCGATCCCCAGTAGGGAGCGTGCAGGAGGCAGCCAGCCGATCAATGATTGATGTTTCTATCTCTCACTCTTTCTGCCTTCCTCTCTAAAATCAGTAATATATATATATATGAAAAAAACAAAACAAAACCTGGGGACAGAGATCATTGGCCAGAATAGGCATGGCCACTACAAGCCTGTGAAAATTTGGAAATACGTAATTCCCAAAACAAAGGAATTCTATTGGTTCTTGTTGCTCTTCGCTCTTGGCTCTTGGCATATAAGGCTCTGGCGTCCACACCCCGTGGGGGGCCCCTGATGGTTGGAGAGAGGAGCAGGTAGACAATGCCCCCCGTGAATGCCGCTCCAGGAGAAGTTCTGGGGGCCTCCGCAGAGTGAAGTGCAAAGTGGGGAGCCGCTCCTTCCCGCAGCCTCGGGTGGGCTGTCCTCCTCCAGCTTCACTCCCGAGATCCCAGAGATCACCCCCTGCCCGCAGCCCCCACGTCGGCTCTGCTCCCCGGGGCTCACGCAGCCCCTGCTCCCCACAGAAGTACGTGCAGGACATCCTGCAGGAGAAGCTGGCGGAACCGCTGTACCAGGCCCTGAAGGAGCAGGGGGGCCACATCTATGTGTGCGGGGACGTCACCATGGCCGCCGACGTCCTCAAGGCCATCCAGCGCATCATGGCGCAGCAGGGGCAGCTCTCGGTGGAGGACGCGGGCGTGTTCATCAGCCGGCTGAGGGTGAGTGGCGGCCGGCCTCCCGCTTCCCGGCATCCGGGGTCCTGTCTCAATGCCTGGGGAGCCATCACGACATCCCTGCTCCCACTTGGCCCTCTCTGGCTAGGGTAGAGGATGGGGGTGTCCCAGCCCTCCGCGGAGAGAGGAGGAAGGAGGGCGGGCGTGCAGGGGAGCAGGTGGGATGTGGCTGGGGCTGTGGTGTGGCGGCAGCAGCGGGCAGGTCACTGGGAGAGGGCAGGGGGTGTGGAGGCTCCCGTTTGACCTCCCCTCCTGTCCTCAGGATCCACAGAGCAGCAGCTTGTCCCTGGACGGACCCAGGGTGCTCATTGTCACCCGGGCTGGGGAGACCAAGGGCACTCCCGGGGGCGCTGGAGCGCCTCGGTTCTTTCGGGCCCGTTTTTTTTTTCGGGAGAGTTCATCCTGGGTGTCCGCGTGCCCGCCCTCTCCGTGCCCCGGGCTGGCCTCTGAGGGCTGTTCCCTGACTGTTTCCGCCCCTAGGATGACAACCGCTACCATGAGGATATCTTCGGGGTCACCCTGCGAACGTATGAAGTGACCAACCGCCTTAGGTCTGAATCCTCAATCGCCTTCATTGAGGAGAGCAAAAAGGACACGGATGAGTAAGCTGGCCCCGTCCCGCGGGCGAGGGGTGGCAGCGCCCTCCCTCTGGTCCTGGTGGGCAGGGGCGTCTGACCTCAGTAACGGGGCCTTCCCCCCGAGGGGTCCCTGAGATGCAGCAGCAGCGCCTGGGAGCAGTTAGAAACGCACCCTCCAGGCCCAGGCCTGCAGAGCCTAGGCCTCGGGGTGCAGTGGTTCCTCTGGGAGACTCTGTGCCCTCAAGTGTGGGAACCCCAGCTTCCGCCTGGGGCACCCCCTAGTGGAACGACGGCTCAGGGCTCTGCAACGTTGTCTTGGGTTTCACACCACGTCTCTCGCCCCCCAGAATTGCTGGGAACACTCTCATTGATGCAGATTCCAAGTGGCATTCTTTTGACAGCTTCACGCCTCCCTTAGAAATGGCTGGGAACAGTCTGGGGCACCCGAGGCCGGGATTGAGTCTCCCTGTTTTCGGCCGACCGCAGTGCCATGATACGCCAGCCTGAGTGTAACCTCACGCCCCCCTTCCCCGCCCCGGGAACGCCTCGCCACCCCCGCCCTGGGCCCTGGAACGTCGGTAGCAGTGGAGCCGTCGCGTTTAGAGTGGCAGAGGGCACACGCTCCAGCTCTCACATACCCTCGCGGACTTCCCCTGACCAGCCGGCCGTCTCAAAAACACACTCGTGTGTCCAGGAGGCTCACGTTACTGCTGTGACCGTCGCACTCCTGGGGCTGTCACTGAGCCCCTTGCATGTCCCTCCTCCTGGCCGGTGTGTTGGGAGCCAGCGCTCACCCATTCGTCCGGTCGTTCCTTGCAGGTCCCAGCTGGGTGCCAGGTGCAGGCAGAGAGAGCACGGAAGGCCCGTGCGGAGTGTAGGTGGCCGTCCCGTGTCCCTAAGCTCACAGCGGCCTGGCGCGGCGCTAACTCTCCTCACTTCTTCTCCCGCAGGGTCTTTAGCTCCTAACCGGATGCTCTTGCCCCGACGGACGGACGGCAGGGGTCCGCCCCACGCGCTCCGGCAGGGGTGGCGGCAGGTTCCCTAAGCGTGGACACCAATGAACCTTTCCCACGGGACCCGCGCGGCCCGCTCTGCCTCGTCCTGTCGCCGCCTGTCCTGGCTTTCCTCCCCGGGTCCTCGCCTCTCCGTGCGTCCTTGGCCTCCTAGGGTTTCCTCCTGAGTCTTCCTGCTGCGATGCGATGCCTTTATGCTCCTCAGCGGCTCTGACAGCACTGCCCCCCTCTCCTGACAAGGACAAGTCCACGCTCGTGGAGGCCCTGGGACGTGGGGCGCTCCCGGCGGGCTTGTTTTCGGGGGTTCCCCTGGGAGAGGCGCAGGGATCACACGGAAGAGTCTTCTGAGCCCGTCTCCCAGCGCTGAAGCCCCACCTTATTACCTTGTACGGGATGACGTCTGGTCGTGCGTGTGATGGGCCTGGGTCTCCGTCAGGCCTCTTGCCCACGTGAGCGTGTTGCCTGCAGAGCCCGGGGCCCAAGAACCACGGCCCAGCCTGCGTTGGCTGCTCACGCGTCCTGCACTGAGGGACTGCGCCTGGGTCCCTGTAACCCTTGGCAGCACCCTAATGGTCCCGGAAATAAAGGGTCCGGGCACGGAGAGGGCATGTGAGGATTTAGGGGGAAATCTCCAAGGAAAGGGGAGTCGGAGGACGAGATGCATTTAGGTTCTTGCACCAGGAGGGCGCCCTGGCTGGGAAACTCACCCATCTATTGGATTGAGCAACCGTGCCCCCAGCCCGCCCACCCCAGGCCCTCCCAGAGCAACCCCACCCATGAGGCCAGAAGTGATGCTGTCCAAGGGAACGGGCTGCAAATAGGAATCTTCTCATCTCGGCCACCCCCTGACTTTGGACAAGTCTCTGGTCCTCGGATTCCCCTCGCTGTAATGTTATAAAGCTAAGAAGTATGAATGGATGCAACTTTAAAGTTGTGAAGACTGGAAACAATATTAAGGAACAGTGTCATCGTTCTGCGTTTATTCCCCCAAAGAGGGCTGCTGCTGCACCCTCGGCGGGAAAATCCCGGAAGCCAGTCGGGGTGGATCAGGTTGGGCAGGAGCACCGCGTGGCTTCCTCTGCAGGCCCACAGCCCAGGGTGGAAAGGGCCTGGCCTCCATGCTGTAGGCCTCCTACAAGGCATCCCCCACACGTTTAACCTGCTAAAATAACGGCGACAAATAAATTGTCCTCGACAGATTTCTCTTTAAATGGGCAGCAGAGTCGTTAGCAGAAATCAGAGTTGGAACAAGTTCTCCCTGGCAGGCAAGCCGCGGCGTTGACCCTCTCAGAGTCAAGGGCATGGGAGGCAGGGAAGTGCTACAGATCAATGCAGGCAGCATCCACCAGAGAGCCGAAAAGTCCCAGTGCCCACCCCCCAGGGCCTGGCTCCGGGTCTGCTCTGGGCTGGGCCCCCAGGGTTGGGAGGGAAGCATTGGGCCAGGCCCATCCTTCTGTTGGGTTTGGTCACAGAAAGACAGCCCAATGGGCATTTCTTTCTCGATGCTCCGTGTGTGTTTGGGGGTGGCGGGGGTACCAAAGAGAAAGTGCCCTGGCCTCTTTGGAAAGGCCTTAGAATGGGGGTGCCAAAGAGGTGTTGGGGAGGACACCCTCCAAGACTCTATAAGTCAAAGGGCAAATTATATCTCATCTTTGTCCACCCTCCCTGGGAGCTCCCACGGGTGCCCCGTCCCCTGGGACAGAGCTGTGACCTCCCCGCCTTCCTTGAGTCCTGTTTGCTCCTGCTCAGACTTCCAAGGGCATAGAGACCAAACGCTCAGCATGCTCCCCGACCCTTTCGAACCTGGAGGGAAGCCCCTCGTAAAGCCCGGCTCTCCTGCAAACACGATTCTGTCTCCTAGCAGCTTTCTTTCCAACCCCTTGAGCTTTTTGGAGGTACCGCCTGCGATGTCACTAGCTCCCCGGGGAATGTGTCCAACCTCCGTCAAATCAAGCTTTATGCACGAATGCTTTTCCGTCGCCGAATAAAGACTTGTGAGCACTCGGTGCCAGGCGCCTTCCTCCTCTCTATCCGCGTCACGTCCGTGGAGAAGCAGGCAGGCAGAGGGAAACGTCCTCTAGTTTTATCAGGGAGGCCAAAGAAATGATTACATAGCCAGGATTCATCTTTCTTCCCGGAAGGATCTTTTCCTTTTTAAGTAAACGCCTTTCCGCCACAACACAGCTGCTTCCCAGCTCCTGGCTCGCAGACGGGAGACTAGACTGATCTGTTTCTCTCCTTTGTCGGAATCCCTGACACCAAAAGCCTGGCTGTAATGAGCCTTTCAAGGGATGGAGAGGGAGTCCTCGAGGGTTTAGCTCTGATCCAGGGTGTGTAAGTGCTGCCCTCTTGTGGCGGGTTTTCGCTCGGTCCCAGTAACCAAAAATTTGGTTTAGCAAGAGGTGAGCCAAAGTAGGGTTGGCTGGGCACTTGGGGGCCACCCAGTTTACAGACCTTCGATTTCCCTCTCCCCATTGAGTTGGCCTGCAGTCACTGCAACCCCGTTTGAACAAAAGCTCTAAATACAAGTGAGTTTGGCGGGAGGAATGGGTCATCCCTGAACAGAACCCAATTCCCGCACCTTGGTTTCTATGGAGTGAGACCCCAGGTAGCTTTCTTTTGGGGGAGAAGGCTTCAGACCCACCAACATGGAGTTTTGGAAGCTGGCCTGAGTTCATGCGGCCAGGTAGAGCTTGCCCTCTTGTTTTTAGCTGGCCATGTTTACTTGTAGATTTCATCACCACATGAGCCCCTGCTTGTGCAGACGGCTGTGGGCTGGCGGATTCCTCACCTTTCTGAGGCTGCATAGTCACCTGTAGGACAAGGTGGATTACATGAGATACTGCCCCTGAGATGCCCAGTTATAGTACCTGACCCACTGGGAGCGATCACCTTTTATTTTTTCACTTAATCTATAGCATTCTTGCTTCTCCAGAATGCAGAAGGCATGGCACGGTGTACAGAGCAAAACACAGTTCCCCTTTTATAGGCGGGTAGAATCAGTATGCAGAGGTACGATTCTTAGAATCAACATAAATGTCTGGGGTTCGAGAAGTGGGTGGATTCCACCAGCAGGTTTGGGAGACACGTGTGCCACAGAGTAGGAAGGGTGAGAGCAAAGACAAGGACCAGGGTGGGGCATGGAGGGTACGTGGGGGATGGTGTCAGAGGTACCCAGCTTTGAAAGGCTGCGGAGGGTCGGAATGGCAAGAGAGACGCTGGGAAGATGGGCAGGGACCAGGCGGTGGGGAGGGGTGAGTGGCATGTTAAGGAATTTTGACTTTATTTGGTAGGCAATGGGGAGTCCTTCAGATTGTTTTTAAAAGGGAAGAATAAGGTGGTGATTGGAGTTAAGCCTGGAAAAGAATGTTCTGGCTGCAGCGCAGAGCTCGGAGGGCCGGCCGGTTGACCTCTGGGCAGGTGATTGCAGGAACAAAGGCTGGAACGAGGAAAGAAACAGATATGGTGATACAAGAGGTTCCAGGGGCTGAATCAACAGGACTGGATACCCATCTGTCCTGAAAGATGAAAACAAGAAAGCCGAGATTCTGGCCTCTCGGCTGAGACGGGGCTCGGGAGATAACACAGGCCCCGGAGAAAGATGAGTTCGCGATGCGGACGTGACAGCCAGCTTCTCCCGGAGTCCACAGGGTCAGTCCTCCCCAGGGTCAGCCGGGGTCGGCCGCACGGAGAGAGCTCCCCACCACCCCGCCCCCCGACCAGGAGACCGTGGCCTCCAAACAGAGGGCTTTCCTGCCAGACACGCTCTCAGCGGCCACCTGCTTGGGGCCCCAAAAAGAGGTCAGATTTGCCCTAAGTCCAAACCCTGTGAGATTTTCTGACCGAGATCATGGGGCACAGGGGCCCTGCCAGAACGGGCAACCCGGACGTCCGGCCCCTTCGCCCTGCAGCTCCGCCGTTTTCAGCCGGTCGTGTTTATTTGTATATTTCCACCCCCGCTGCCTCTGTCTCCAGCACGTCACGGTGCCACCTTGTCCACAAAGCCTCTGTCTGAATCCGCCCGTTAATGAGACGCCTGCAGGGGACCAGAAGAAAGCAGCACTCACCTGAGCATCCCATACGACCTGTCCTGACTCCCTGCCTTCTCCCCAGCCCTTGCCACGTCTCCTGCATCCAAATGCCCTGTTTGCCTCAAGAATGACAGGCCAGCAGCAGGGATGGCGGGATGGCGGAAACCGCGATCTGACCGTCTGAGGGAGGGGCCCTGCCTCCCAAGGACGCAACCCAGACGGTTCCGATGAACTTGGCAGCTGACCCCTGCCCGGCTCTCCAGTTCCTGCTGGTGGCAACGTGGCCCAGGAGGAAAAGCTGCCCCTCCCCACACACTGTTGCGTCTCAGGTGTGAGGACCTCGTGAGCGCTCACGCCGGGGAAGCAGTCTGTCCCGGTGTCTTCTCTGGGCAGAGCGCGGCCTGGGGAGGGGTCGGAGCACAGGTGTCTCCGTGTGTTCCTGGGTCTGTTTTGTCCTGGAATCGCGGGGCGGCTCTGAATGGGGAGGCCGGGCCCGTCTGGTCCAGGACAGAGCCCACTCTCAACCAGGTGGCCCCGTCAGGCAGCAGCAAATCTGCCTGGAGGTGCTGCCCTGCATAGTTTTCTAGAAAAAGATTCCAGGGCATCAGAGTGCCCAGATGGGGCTCCTGGGCTCTGGGAAATGCGGGGTCTGTCAGCCTCGGCCCTGTGGGCCTTTGGGGCTGGAGGGTTCTTCGTGGGGGGCTGTCCTGGGCATTGGAGGATGTTGAGCCAGTAGTCGCCCCCTCACCGTGACAAGCGCAGAGGTCAGTGATGGCGAACCTATGACACGTGTGTCAGAGGTGACACGCGAACTCATTTTTTTGGTTGATTTTTCTTTGTTAAATGGCATTTAAATATATAAAATAAATATCAAAAATATAAATCTTTGTTTTACTATGGTTGCAAATATCAAAAAATTTCTATATGTGACACGGCACCAGAGTTAAGTTAGGGTTTTTCAAAATGCTGGCACGCCGAGCTCAAAAGGTTCGCCGTCACTGGCATAGGTCTTCGGACATTACCCGATGTCCCAGGGCCAGCCGAGCGTTCCTCGGCCGGTGGTTTTGTTTCTATTGCCTGCTGCCCCACCGAGACTGGAAGGATGTGGAGGGGGAGTGAAAAGATAGGGTTTCACAAACTCCCGCCCAAGTCAGAAGGATGACAGTTCCGTTTCCATAACAGGCTGTGCGCTGGGCATCGTTCCGATGAAGACACTCAGAGGCCCAGTGCCCTCCGTGCCCGGCCTCCTGCCTCCACCCTGTTCTCCATGTTGCTGTGTTGTCCTTGTGATTGTAAGACCCACTCTGGGTTCGGCAGTGATTTCCCGGAAGGCTGAGCGAGAGCGGTCGGTCGGTTGGTGGGTCGGTTGGTCTGTCCCTGTGGGATTCCATTCCGGGGTTGGGAACTGGGCCGGTGGGCAGAGCGGTGTCTCATCTGACCACACACACCATCAGGAACGCGGACTCCCCCTACCTCTGAGCTCTCGATGCTGCTATCTCCGCCAAGTGTCCCGTGCGCTCCGGCACCTTCCTCAGAGGACCGACGCCCGCCTCACGCTCTTGCAAGGCCGTCCAGGCTGTGTTCACCGCATGCTCTTCCTCTGTATAGTTCTCATCTTCTAATTGGATGGAATTCAAGCAAAAATCTACTTACGCCTGTTTGCATTATGGTTAAAACATTAAAAAGTGGCCCTGACTTGGCTGACTGCTGTCTTTTGTGTGGTTTGCCTGGAATTTCTCATGCCGTCGCTCACTGTCACAGACCGGGGTCCCCCGGAAGCCCACCCTGAGACAGAGGAGTCGGGAGGCTGATTGGGGAACGGTCTTGGCGAAGGGAAAAGAGGGGCGCAGAGGGGGCGACACAGACCAACAAGTTAGAGGAAAAGCAGGGGGTGCAGTATTGTCTCAACCAAAACTTCTGCCAGCCCGGCAGGGGATTCTGAAGGTGACCTTCAGGGTGAGATGCAGGTCGGAGGTGGAGCAAGAGGCGGTGCCTGGCCCCTACAGAGTGCTTCGTTGATTAAAATAATGGCCAACAGTTATTAAGTCCTACCCTTCACCACGACACTCAGACATGTTATCGTTGCTCTCCCCAGTTTAAAACTTGGGAAACTGAGCCAGAAGGGGGTCGGCCAGCTTGAGCAAGGTCGGCATAGCCAGTAAATGTCACAGGCGGAGTTAGAACCCAGACTGTTCCATGCTAGAATCCGCATTCTTAACCACCATTTTGCTGCTCAGAGACCCAGACTGTCCAGGTGCAAATCCCAGCCCCCCCGCTTCCTAGCTGTGTGACTTTGGATAAGTTAACAACCTCTCTGTACCTTCATTTCTTTACTGTAAAATAAAGATGATTGTTCCAAATTCACTGCATTGAGATAAGATTAAATGCGGTAATATATGCAGCACAACCTGGGATGGAACGGAACGGAACAGAACAGCCATATGTTACAGAACAAAAGGAGTTCACCCATTGGGGCTAGCAGAGCCAAACACTAAACACAGAAAGATTGGCTATTTTACTACGAATGGGAAGCAAATACTCCAGAGCCCGAACTCCCCCATGGCATGGAGGCTACAGGGCAAAACCTCAAGACACGGTGGGTGAAGGGGTGAGGGCTGTGCTGGGAGTTGATGGGTCGGAGGTGGGAGGGTAGTAAGTCATTTCTTCAGTCCGGGGCACAGCTCTGAGGTCTGCTCTGGCGTCCCTCTGTCTGGTTTCATCGGAAAGTAGCCAGGGGGTTGTTCCACCTTGGGGCTCAGGAGCTGAAAGATACCTCAGGTCAAGATGTTATCTGGAGCCTGCCGGAGGCTCGGGCCTTGTGATCTTCGGTCAGGGCCGGGCTCAGGGCTGCTGCTGCCTCAGGGGTTGCTGGTCATCCAGGGGAAAGGCTAGGTCTCCGGTGGAGAGAGACACAGAGAAAGAGATGGTGTCTGGAGCTAGGATTTAAAGCTAAGTGTAGTCAAAGTCTTAAGGAGCCTTGGTTTCATACACACAAGTAAAGAAACTAAGATGGTGTCTGGTTCCTCCCAGCTTTCTCAGCCCTTGTCTCTTATTGAACCCCAAGCAGCCCCATCTTGATGTCATTTGCCATTTGATACTTGGGCGCTGGGTTTCTCGGGCCTCCTCAGCCCACCTGCCCTCAGAGGAGCCACCTGGCCCACCTACCCATTAGCATTCGCTGGGAACAAGGTCTCACACCTGCTTACATTTTTAACCATCTCCCCTGTGTGATTCGTTCGCAGGCTCAGCTTCAGAGGTGGCTGGGGACAATTTAACATTGACATGCATCCTGCCTGGGGTGGCGTCTGTTGCCTGGCAACCATGTGAACAATCCAAGTTTACACCCAAACAGAACCTTCCCAACCTCCAATCCAAAAGAGAAGGGGGTGGGAAACAAGGCGGGGTTGGGCGGTAAACAAAGGATTTTTAAATTTAATTTATTGGAGTGACATTGGTAGAGTTCTATGATACGTGATCTGTATATAGCATTGTGTCCCCACCACCCAAAGTCAAATCAGCTTCCATCACCATGTATTTGGTTCCCTGTACTACCCGCCTTCCTTCTGTAACCACCACACAGTTGTCCGTGTCGGTGAGTTTCAGTTTTATATACCACATGGATGGAATTAGATGGTCCTCAGCTTTCACTGTCTGACTTCTTTCACTTAGCATCCTATTCTCAAGGTCCAAACAACCAAAGTGTCCTTCCGTAGGTGATTGGATAAAGGAGATGTGGTACATACACATGGAATACTACTCAGCCATAGAAAAGAGGAAACTGCCATTTGTGACAACATGGAGGGACAAAGGATCAATAGAGAACATATTCAGCTTCACAGTCAGTTACGTAGTAAAAACGGACTTTTTTTTTCTTTGTGCTCTTGGCAAAATCAGGGAACGTGTTTACAGTCAGGTGGGTGGCTATAGACAGAGCCTAACCCACATCCCAAAAGGAAATGACTTTGACAAGGGCCTCTGCAGGAAAATAAGATTGGTAACCAAGTAACAGAAGATCGAAGCCAAAGGAATGAATAAGGTGATTTTTAAAAAAATCTTAAATCTTTACACTAGACCTGGGGGCTGGGGAGGGACGGGTGGGTGGTTTCCCGGCTTCTCTGTAACTCTTTTCTCCGCTAGAACTCAGGTGAGTGTGGAGGCCGCTGTCTGAAGCCTGACCCAGTTGCTCCCTCATTGACTGTCTCCAAGAATTTTGAGATCTTCCAGGGTGATGCATTCTGCTCTCCACTCCGCTCCCTTCCTGCTCTGGGAGGGCTGTGACCGGTAAAGAAACCAACGCAAGAGAGCCTCGGAGACAGCCTGTGAACTCAAGCTGTTGTGTCTGTGGCCTTAGTTAAGCCTTAGGCACTGAGAAATTGAATCGGTTGTGTTAGGGCTTTAAAGAGTCGCTCATGGAAATGCAGTTATTCGCAGAAGAGCTGCCGGCAAAGTCTGCGGGGAGAGAGACACCTGCTTCTCTTCCCTCCAAGAGGCCACCCATCGCCTTCCTTGAAAAACACACACTGCCCTCACGTTGCCCTTCCAGAAACATCTCTCTCATCCGGTCATGCCTTTGCTCGAAGGCATCCGGTGTCATCGGGTCAGAAGAGGAGGACCAACTCCCCGCGCCCCCCCCCCAACAGCCAAGATTCAGTGCCTGCTCTGGCCACCAGCAGCTTCTCTATTTCTCTCCTTCCCCATGTCACACAAACCACCCCTGCTCCAGATTTGCCCCAGTAGTTAGTTCTAATCACGGCTTTCATCCTCCGTCGGCCTGGCCTTTGCTCCCGGCGCTCCCCCTCCCTGCAAAGCCCACCTCCTCCCTTACCTCAGCTGAGCCCATGTCTATGGTGACGTTCTGACCCAAACCCTGTCTTTCGGGGCTCTCTCCTCCAATGATACTTTCTGTCTGCACCAGTCACTGGGCACCTCGGAAGTCTTGCTATGCAGCAGTGATGTGTGTGTGCCCTGTCACCTGCCTCTGGGGCCGTAACCTATTTGCCACAATAATGTTGAGCAGCAATCGAGCAATCTCCCTGGCTTAGGGCGTCATGCTGTGCAGGTTGGAGTCACGTGGCTGTGAGCCAAGGAATGTAGGCAGCCTGGAGCCTCCAGACGGAGCACAGCTCTGCCGACACCTTCATTTCAGCCACGCAAGACCCTCTTGTGACTTCTGACATCCACAGCAGCTAGGTAATAAAGGTGTGTGATCGTAAGCCATTAGGTTGGGGTGATTCTTGCAAGCAACAAATAGGAAACTAAAACCTGTATTAGCTTCTGATTGCCATGTTCCAGGGAAGAATCCATGTCCTTATGTTGCCCAACGTCTAGAACAGCCGTGGGCAAACTACAGCCCGCGGGCCGGATCCAGTCCGTTTGAAATGAATAAAACTAAAAAAAAAAAAAA